TTGCACGACACGGGTGCACTTACCTACATGCAGGCAATACACACATACACATAAAATAAAAATAATAAAAAAAGAGAAATCTATAATGCTATATCTCATCCATGTGTAAAAAGTAAACTTTATAGATATTCAAGTGCACCAGGCTAGTCCCTCTGCAAGTATCGGGAAGAGGCCTCCACAAAGGACAAGGGAGACTTCAGTTTTTTCCAAAATGATTTATTTACTTTATAAAATTTCAACCAAGAACAAGCAAACGAAAACAAACCTATGCTTTAAGAATACTGGGTGGTAATTACACAGTACTACCGTTTCCTACATTTCTACGCAGGAAGGTTTAAAAATAGAATAAAATATGGAAAACTACATGAGGTGAAAGACAATTCAGAAACAAAACCAATCAAATAGCATACAGATAAAAATATTTAAAACAGCTGGGTGTGGTGGCACATGCTTTTAATCCCAGCACTTGGGACACAGAAGCAGGCGGATCTCTGTGAATTCAAGGCCAGCCTGGTCTACATAGTGAGTTCCAGGACAGCTGGGGCTACAGGGAGACCCTGTCTCAAAAAGACCAAAAAAAAAAAATTAAAACAGGAGTGAGCAATTGCAGCCTATGGGCCAAGCGTGGCCAGCAGCTTGTTTCTGTGAAAGTTTTACTGGAGTACAGCAGTATTAATTTCTGTTCAGGGTCAGAATGAAACTTTGGACTGGATTATGTTGTGTGTAGGGGGTTGTTTATGCTATGCATCATAGGCCACTGAGCATGATCTCTGGCCTCTGCCCACTAGACACTAGCAACAATCACCTTTAAAGTGACAAAAATGCCTGTGGATGTTGCCAGCTATTTACTGGGGATGTAGGCAGATGAAGCAAGATTGAGACAACAGGAGCACTGCTTTCTGTAGAGTATGGTAGTGCTTTGGCACCACAAAGGCAGTGTGAAGGTCGGCCCTCAAAGCCTGAAGTATTTCCCATCTGGCCCTTCAAAAGACATTTGGTAACATTTTTCCATAAACAACGGCAAAGAACATAGTCTAGACTCTGAAAATAAACCACCAAATGTGACAAAAGAATCTCTTCATCCAAGTTTCTACAAATGCCTCTTAGAAAACATTTCCAATTTAGCTGGGTATGGTGGTGCATGCTTTTAATCCCAGCACTCGGGAGGCAGAGGCAGGCCAGTCTCTGAGTTCCAGGCCAGCTGGGGCTACAGGGAGACCCTGTCTCAAAATAAAAAACAAAAAGGCAGAAAACATCTCCAATTTAAAAAGGGAAATTGGTAACCACAAGCAATTCACAGAAACAAGAATCAAATGACCCTTAGGCCTGGTAGATGCTCAACATCACTGGCAGTTAAAGTTCAAAACCGAAGGCACGTTTTCAGTCCTGGTTGACACAGCCAGGAAATGAACACACGTTTCTGTTGAGACAGTGGCAAGCTTCGGACAATACTAAGGCACTACTACATTTAATATGTAATGTTAAGGCAAGGAATCCAACAGGAATCACCCGCTTTGCAGAAGTAAAAGCACCAACATGCAATAATACGTGTAGCACACTTGAATCATTAACAGTAAAACCAACCTGAACATTCACGTGTAGAATGGGCTGTACACACATCTGTTCTGTAAAACTGTTAGATCTGGAGGTATTGACTAAAATGCCCACTGTGAGAATAGGGGGCTACAGTCCTATGTGTACGCACCATCCCATTCAAACCACTTCCCCCACTCAACCTTACTGTTAGCAAAACAAACTGAAGAGTGGGTGTGCCTCCTGAGGACAGAGGAAGAGAGCCCAGCAGTCCCTGTTGTTAGCACTTAAGACAACGTGAATACCATTTTATTTTTCTAAAGAAATCTGTAGTCTACTCTTGGTTTCTGATGTATCATGATACATAAACTTGGAAGAGAACATTCAAGTCTTGAAAGAATAAGTATACATGACCAGAAAATTAAACATTTTCCCTTCAACATTTTTTTTTACTACTTAAAGTGTTCGAAATTATGGTTAAATTAGTATAAATATATCATCTATTTCTTTCCTTGCTTTTCATTAATTCAATTCCTGTTAAGGGTATAAGTTCTTCTCTTAGAGGAATAGTTAAAAATTTTGAGAAATAGATTTATTAAATTAATATACCAGTGCAGATACAATTCAGTAATCATTTCTCCCCTTTAAAAATATACTTGACCAACTGGGGAGACAGTAAAGTGCTTGCCGTGCAAGCATGAGGACCCGAGTCCCCCCCAGAACCCACATAAAGAAGCCAGGTGGGGTGGCATGCACTTTTAATTCCATCCTTGGAGAAGACGGGTGGACCTCTGGGGTTCATTGGCCAGCCTAACCTAATTGCTAAGCCCAGGCTCCTGGTGAGGCCCTGTCTCAAAAACCAAAATGGACAGCTCTGGAGGAGTGACACATAAGGTTGACCTCTGGCCTTCACATATGTGCAAAGTGTACAACCCCCACAAACACAATTTTTGATTTTTGTGCTAGAAATGGTTTTGCAATAGGCTAATAATTAGCAAGGAGAACTTTACCTATCACATAATGCATCTTTATTAGCTTATTTAGAACATGCATGCTTGTTCTACTGTGTAAGGCGGAAGTAGAATTCACTTCTAAAGGCTGTGAGGTTTCTAGAGCAGGTGTGCTCAAGAGAACAGCAGTGAGTTCACGGCGGGCATCTGCTGTTCAAAGTTGTTGCTTTCAGTTATTACATACTATTACTTTTTCTTTTCCAATTGAACAGGTCACAAGTATTCGGCCCAACCTTCTATGATCCTCTTTTAATAGGCTTCTAGATTTGACTTTCTAGTCAACTATATAGTCAACTACTACATATAAGTACATGGATTTTTTTAAATAACTGATTTTATTTTGGATGTTGTTCTTTTCCATGTTTCCAAATTTTCTAAATTTGGTAAAAATATTCGCTACCTTCATATCTACGCCATCTTTGTATCCTGAAGAGGTAGATTTTTAGCTGTCAGATAATTTGGTACTAGAGGAATTACATCATGTACTTCCTTAAGCAGTTTCTTCTTGGTTTTCAGTTTATTCAAGAAAATAATACTTGTCCAGGGTTTCACATACTATGTAAAAATCAGGATATAAAAATACACTATCAAATGCTGAATGTAAACAAGTATTTCCTATATCTTACTAAACCAAAGTTTAGTCAATAATGTGATTAGGAAAATAAGAACAGAATGCTTCTCTATGTCAAATGTACTATAAAAATCTAAATATAAAAATTTTACCAAACCAAAGTTGAACCCACATAAAGAAGCCAGGTGGAGTGTAAAAAGTTTTTACATAAATTTCCAGGACTAAGATAATACTGTAAAAAGTTGAGTATAAATTACAACGTATGCATAATTTCTTATTTCTCAAGTCCAAGGAAAGAGCAGTTCATTATTTAACCCAGTCCACACTGTCCAGGACAGCATAGTCTCTGTGACAGGCATGGCTTTCTGATTGCAAAACGGTCCCAAATTGGGTACAACATGGCAGGAGAGATGTGCACCCTGGTGGTAAGAAGACCATTTCCTGTGTCTTGTTAGGAAAGAAATCTAAAGTCATTTACAGACTTCTGCTCAAATCTATGTTGGGCACAGGCTAGACCAGGCTGCTCATCCATCTAGCCTTACTTCAGTTAACAAATCCATTTTTGTCTCAGGCATGAATCCTAGGTTTCTTTTTGCTTAAAATAAGATGTAATATTTTTCATTTCAGAAAGTTTTCCAAGTTTTGGACTTGCTTTTAATTTTGTTTTTCTGCCTACTGGAGGAGTTGAATACTTTATTCATTCACACTCCTTAGATCAAATATGTACCGGGCTCTACTAAGAAGAGGTAGTGAGCAGGTGTAGTGGGGACAGAATCAATCCCACCTCCTAATATCTACACAGAAGGGAAGTTAATTTTCCTCAGTATCTCTCCACTCATAGTCTACAAACTTCAATGTGTGGTGTTACTCACTCCTAATACAATTTGCCTTAAGAAATGTAAATTTACTTATTTAGGTATCTTAGACTTTCTGGTGGGCACCTGGATTTTGGCTACAGTTTTGTTATTTCCTAATTCTAGGGCAGGGATCATGGCATGGCTTTTGTTTTATGAAAAAAAATTTTTGGTGTTTTTGAGTCAGTCTCCCTGTAGTGGGGGCTGGCCTTGAACTCAGAGAGATCCGCCTGTCTCTTCCTCCCAAGTGCTGGGACTACAGGTGTGCGCCACCACACCCAGCTCTTGGTTTTTTTTTTTTTTTAAATTCAGCATGTAGCCAAGGATGGCTTGAACTCCTGATTGTCCTGTATTTACTTTGTAAGAGTGGGGATTACTGGTTTGTGTTGCCATGCCTAGCTTAAGAAGGTTTTAATAAACCTCTAAATCCTCTCTCTACCTTACAGCAATCTCCTTTCTCTCACTGAGCTGATTTAAGTCATGAATCTCCTGATCAGCAGGAGGGCACACTACAAAGTTTTAAGTTTTTCTTCCGATGAATTCTAGAACATTCAATAAGGAGGTAATGCAAAATGTCTCTCTAGTCACTGAATGTGTACGGCTTTCCTCACACATGATTTCTAAAAAATTCACAATTATGAAAATAGCAAAGAAAGCAGGTCTCACTGGATACACTTTTTTTTTTTTGCCTTGAGACAGGGTTTCCAGGTTGGTTTCAAACTTGTGATCCTCCTCCCTATGCTTCCCAAGTATTAGGACCACAGGCATGCACCCCACTATGTCTGGCTACATTCGACACACTTTAAATACTAGCTGGATGCTATCCTAGAAAACACAAGCACGTGGTGGTGCATGCCTTTAATCCCATCACTCAGGAGGCAGGTGAATCTCTGAGTTTGAGGCCAGCCTGGTCTACATGATCCCAATGTCAAAAGAAGTCCCCAATGGCTGATTTCTCTGAACTATCCACTGCCCTCTGCTTTTCCCTGCCATGAACTCCCTGAGGTTTATTTGGTTCTGGGTCACCAAAAGTGCCTTGAGACAGGGTTTCCAGGTTGGTTTCAAACTTGTGATCCTCCTCCCTATGCTTCCCAAGTATTAGGACCACAGGCATGCACCCCACTATGTCTGGCTACATTCGACACACTTTAAATACTAGCTGGATGCTATCCTAGAAAACACAAGCACGTGGTGGTGCATGCCTTTAATCCCATCACTCAGGAGGCAGGTGAATCTCTGAGTTTGAGGCCAGCCTGGTCTACATGATCCCAATGTCAAAAGAAGTCCCCAATGGCTGATTTCTCTGAACTATCCACTGCCCTCTGCTTTTCCCTGCCATGAACTCCCTGAGGTTTATTTGGTTCTGGGTCACCAAAAGGGCGTTGCTCCTTTCCTTACACTCATGGAATTTTCCAGTTTTTCACCAACTAAAGCCTTATAAATTCTGAAACTATCCTATCCCAATTTCTAACGTGTATAAGGTTTCTAACCAGTGACAAGTGTCTAATCATTTCTGGTTTTAAATGGCTTTTCAGGTCATGGTGTGCCCCTTTCCCCCCATGAATTCCAATGCCGGTGAGAAACCTACTTTGCTTTCCCACATCTGTCACCACCACAGGCTTTTTAAAATTAGCGTGACTTTTCTGATGTTAATCAAATTTTGCACTTCTCACATTTCCTCATTCACTTCTCTGTCCTGTATGAATTCTCTGATGTTGAGTAAGGTGGGAGCCACGGATAAAGGCCTTCCCACATTGCTTACACTCATAGGGCTTCTCACCAGTATGGATTTTCAGGTGTCGACTAAGTTCTGAGCCACGACCGAAGGTCTTCCCACATTCCTTACACTCATAGGGCTTTTCCCCGCTGTGGCTTCTTGTGTGATGAGTTAGTTCTGATCTTCGAATAAAAGCCTTCCCACATTCCTTACATTTGTGGGGTCTCTCACCAGTGTGAACTTTTTGATGTCTAACAAGTTCTGTGCTACAAGTAAAGGCCTTCCCACATTCCTTACATTTATAAGGCTTATCACCAGCATGAGCTCTCTGATGTCGGGCAAGTTCTGTGCCACGACGAAACCCTTTGCCACACTCCTTACATTTATAGGGCGTTTCACCAGTGTGAACACTCTGATGGCGAAGAAGATGTGAATCAGAGATGAAGCCTTTCCCACATTCCTTACACTTGTGGGGCTTCTCCCCAGTGTGAGTCATCTGATGCAGACTCAGCTGTGAGGCACAGCTATACACTTTGTCACAGTCCTTACATTCATAGCGCTTTGTCCCGGTATGAGCCAGCTGATGAAGACTAAGCTGCGTGTCATAACGAAAAGCCTTCCCACATTCCTTACACTTATGAGGCTTTTCACCAGTATGGATTCTTTGGTGACGAAGAAGGTGTGAGGGGCGGGTGAAGGCTTTCCCACACTCCTTACATTCGAAGCACTTCTCATCAGTATGAACTCTCTGATGAAGATTAAGTTGTGCAGTAGATTTAAAAGCCTTCCCACACTCCTTACATTTGTAGGGTTTCTCTCCTAGATGCAACTTTTGATGGTGACTAAGTTGTGAGGTAGAATGAAAGCCTTTCCCACATTCCTTACACTTATGCGGTTTCTCAGTACTATGAGTACTCTGAGGCTTAGGCACGTCAGAGCCAGGAATAAGGGCATCTTTCTTCTTTTCATTGCTTTTTTTGTTTTCATGAAGTCTCTGATGGTTAATCAAGTCTGACCTACTGTTACACACCTTGCCACATTGTGCACATTCAGTGTCTTTTTCCTTATTGTGAATTTGTGCATGCTGAATGGGACATGATTGGCGCCTGAAAGTTTTCTTGCACAGGCTGCACCCACAGGGTCTGTCTCCAGGATGAGCTTCTCTGTGGGCTGTGCACTGAATGGAAGTGGACCTGTCACTAGAGGTTACTATGGCTTGTCTCAAATGTCTCTCCTGATGTCCCTGTTGCCTCTCCAACTGGCATGTGATTTCCCTGCTACCTCTGGCACTGGTGCCCTCAAGGTTGGAGTATGTATGTTTTTTGGTTATCGTCTGTTGCAGTGGTTTAATCTTGTAACTGTCCTTTGGGGGTATCTTCTTGCTTTCTCTTCTAGACTCCCAATCTGCAAGGTAATAAGAAAGAAGAAGGTTATTTTTCACATTTCCGGAGAAAGAGAACTTGTAAGTTGGAAATGACAACTAACGATAATGAACACTTAAATAACCTTTTTGTTTGAGACAGAGCCTCCCTGTAGCTCCAGCTGACCAGGAACTCACTGTGGCCCAGGCTGACCTCATTCTCACAGAGATCTGCCTGCTTCTACGTCCTGAGTGCTAGAATTAAGGTATGCACCAGCATAGCTGGCTGAAAATGTAAACAACTCTTGATGTTGTAACTTGAGAGGCAGAATGAGACTAGAGGAGAGGAGAAGCGCTCATAAAGGAAGGTGGAGGTGTACCCTTCTGCTGAGAATCCACTCAGATGGAAAGCTTGTTCAAAAGGTATCTAGGAACCACCTACGATTAACCAGAGACTAAAGGAGCAATGCACAGCCAACAGCAGATCTCATCTCTAGCGTCAGAACATGCCCGAATTTTGACTTCCGTCCCCTATCGTGTCCAAAGCCTCACCTCACTGAAGTTGCACCATCCTATCTACTCTATTAGCCCTGCTGCATCTGTTGTCCTCCTAATTTCCATTCTAGCATGGGAGCCAAAGTGCTCCTGTGAGACAGTGAGATGACATCATTCTTCTGTTCAGAATCCTCCTCGCTCAAAAGCAGAGCTTTCCACACACCTGCCCCGCACTACCTCTTTCTGACCTATGGTCTCCTCTTGGCCACCTCTGCTCCAGATCCTTAACCAACTGCGTGCTCTTTGCATTTGCTCAGCAGCCCTCCTTTGGAGTTTGTTGTCAGATCCCTTCCCTAGGATATCAATATGGCTCACTCAGATTCTTCACCTTGACCTCAAGTCATAGCCACTTATGCGAGTGCCCTTTACAGAAAGGTGCCTATCACTGTACTTACCCTATTTTCTATAGCATGTTTATCACAACTTACCCGCTATATTTTCCAGTATTATAAAACATTTTAAACATACAGAAAAAAATATGCTTATTTCTTCTATGTGGACTCTACAGTAAATGTGCTCTACTTGCCTTACTCTGTGTTTACCCATCAACCTTGCAGGCATCAATGTCTTTCTGAACTCAGCAGATTATGATCTTTTGTCTGTCCTTTACTGGGCCTTCACTATACTCAATAACTGTCTGAAGTGGTGTTTTCATTACTTTCCTTCAATGACTATGCCAACTGAAAGGGTGGGGCTCATTGGCTGGGCATGATTGTACATACTTTTAATCCCAGAACTCCAGAGGTAGAGGCAGGTGGCTCTCTGGGTTCCAGGCCAGCCAGAGCTACATTGTGAGACCATCTCAAACAACAACAACAAAAGCACTTAGCGGGCTCAAGAGATGGTTCAGCAGTTAAGAGCACTGGCTGCTCTTACACAGGACCTGGGTTCAGTTCCCAGCACCCATGTGGTGGCTAACAACCATCCATAACTCCAGTTCAAGGGGATCCAACACCCTCTTTGGGCACTGCACAACACAGATACACATGCAGGCAATATACTCATATACATAAAATATTAAAAAATATTTTTTTAAAAAAGCACTTAGACTAAAACACTTGGCTTTTTCTTCTTGGTCTTTTTGAGGCAGGGTCTCCCTGTAGCCCAGCTGCCCTGGATTCACTATGGAGGCCAGGTTTGCCTCGGACTCACAGAGATTCGCTTGCCTCTGCCTCCCAAGTGCTGGGACTAAAGGTGTGCGCCACCACGCCCGGCAAAATGCTTGTCTTGTCAGACCTACAAACTGCACTCTAGGGCCTGTTTCCTTCTTCGTCATGGTGAGGAGCTCTTTGTTAGCTATGCTCTCGCCATACGGCCCCACAGATCATGCCAACTGCTTTCTTGTCTTAGATCCTTACAGATCCCCATGAAGGCTTTGTTGCAGGATCTCTGCAGAGCAAGCTTTCTCATGCTAACTATCTTAATTTTCTGTCAGACATCCTGGTCTTTGCTCTTATAATAATCTTTTTCTCAACTCTGGAATTGAATGTCTTCTGGAATTGTATGTCTTCAGTTTGTCTGATTTCCCCTAAAGTGGCTTCCAACTAGCACAGTACTTATTTGACTCTCCACCACCTATCCAGTCCCTAGCACATAGTTCAATTAATACCACATCACTAGATTAGTCAGGTACAACGGTGCATACTTGCAGCTTCTTAAAATATATACATCTACAATATAGAAAGAGTTTAAATGTAGTTACCCTATAATGGGGATTCAATGGCCCAAACTGGGCACCACAGGCTAGCAAATAAAAAGCCCAGTTCCAGGAATGGACTCCGTCTTTTGAAGTGGTTGATGGAGGAGGGGGTCCCATAGATCCTCAAACAATGCTGGCTATTGCCATTGCTCTTGGTTACGCACCAGAACTTGATGATTAGATCAAGTTAGACTATTGCTGAAGACACTACTAATGTGAGTCATAGAACAAACAAGGAGAAATCAAGCTGGTACTGACTTCAAAACTTCATCTCTACTGGCTAATTTCATAGTACTAGAAGGCTCTATGCATGCTCTGGAAAAGTAATCGTCAATCTTACCCAGCTGCACTACAGGTGGCCTGGCAAGATATGCCTACTGGTACAAAAGTGGTACAGGTGTTATGGGAGTAACCAACCACTTTCTGATTAGATTTAGGGCCCACTTCACAAGATGGAGTCAAAACCTGGTGCTGTTATTAGGGCCAAGGACCTGTGGCTAGATGGGTCATGGGCTGTAGGGGAAAACCTACTATTATGCTAAAGAGACATACGTGTTAAATGGACTTATGGTTATACCCATAGTGAATCTCTCTCACCAGAGAAGCTGCTTCTTGCAGCAAATGATGATGAACACAGAGACCCACAGATGGTCAACACACAGAGAATAAGAGACTGCAGAGTGCTCAGCCATAAATGGGACAGTTATATCACACCTTCTCCTCAAGACTCCAGGGTCATTGTGGAAGAGGGGGCAGAAAGACTGTAAGTGCCAGAGGTGATAGATGAATACAAGGAAACCATATTATCTGGACACCACAGAGCAGCTGTACATATGAACCCACAGTGCTTATGACAGCATGCACAAGACTTGTGCAAGCCCAAGTCAGGCAAACACCCAGCATGGATGAGGGAAGTAGGCAAGAAGCCTCAGCCCTAGCTGAGGAATACTGGCAACTGAGCTGCTAGGAGAGGAACAGTCAGTTTTCTTTTTATTATGTATATGAGTTGTGCCTGCATGTATATAAGTACACCTGTGTTGTGCATGGCCTGCGGAGGTCAGAAAGGGTACTGGATTCCCTGGAATTGGAGTTAGGGACAGTTGTCAGCTGCCATGTGGGCGCTGGGACTGGAACCCAGGTTCTCTGCAAGAGCACCCAGGGCTCTTAACCACTGAACCATCTCTCCAGCTGATGGCACCTGGTAGGTTAACCAGGCTCCAAGAGATGGACCCCACACCCAAGAACATTTGGGGAACACAAGATACTCCATTGGTCTTCAAAAAAAGAAAAATAGAAGACATCAAGTTGGGGGATGGGGTAAATAGGGTGGGTAAGGACATGGAGGTCTGAATATGATCAAAATACATTGTATGAAATTCTCAATAAATTTTTTTTTTGTTTAAAAGTACAACTCTGTAGTGTTTTGTTAAAATTTGCAGCTCCTTGGAAAATCTACTTATAGGGTGTTGCTGGGGGGTGGGGGAGCATGGAAGCCCTACCTCGGGCGTTATTAAAAACAGCAAACACTACCAGTACTGTAGCAGCATAAGGCTGTAGTTTTGGTTGGAGCAAATGGTAAACCAGGAGTGAGAAAACAGATCTAGACAGCTATAGGAAACTGAAAAGTTCTAATTATATTATGAGAAATACAAAAAGCTGTGCACCCTCCAGGTGTCCTCTACATTCCTGGGAAAGAAGTCCTTATAGTCACAATTGCCTACTGTCAAGTTCCTGCACTCACAGGAGGGGGAAAGTAAGACCGCAACCTACGCAGGTAGGTCTTAGGGTCTGTGTTCTTACAAATGCCCTGGGGAAAGGACAGGAGAAATATAGGCAAGACATTTAAGGAATCGTATTCCCTTTTCTTCTCCACTCTGACAGCCTGCCTAGATTCCATAGCTAACAGTCCACACTTCCAACTTGTTTTATTTTTTTCTTAGACTAGCCCAGACTAAATAGTGAGACCCCATCTAAAACTCAGGATCCCCATCTCAGGCCCCAGAACACTGGAATTGCATGGTAATGATTTGCTTCTAGATTGTTTTAAGTTAAAATGCTAATTATAATCCCTAGGGCAACCACTAAGAAAGTAATTCTAAGAACTGTAATAAGAGAAACCATGCAGAGCCAGCCTGGCTGCATAGTAAGACTCTGCCTCAAGAAACAGAAGACAACAGAAGAGACAATATTAAGAACTAAAATGGTACTCCAGAAATACTTAACCTAACAGGCAGTAATGGAGGAACAGAAGTCCAAAGCACCTAAAAACACATGTAGGAAACAAAAGATCACAGTTCTAGACATACAGTCTACACTATCAGTAACACATCAAATGTAAACAATTTAAGCATCGCAAGCAAATGACAGATTGACAGAATGGATTAAAAAAATTATCCAGGGCTCAGTGGATGAAGATGATTGTTTCCAAGCTGAACAACCTGAGTTCGAGTCTACCCACATGGTGGAAGAAGAGAACCAACTCTTGCAAGTTGTCCTCTGACCTCCACCTGTGCATTGTGGCATGTGTATACCAACCCCCCAATAAATAAAAATAAGTACATGCTGTCTACCAGAGACATACTTTAGAGTCAAGAATACTTACAAAGAGAAATCAAAAGTGGGAGGGCCTACCATTAGTAATACCAGGCAATACAGACTCCAAGAGAAAGGAAAGTTTATAATGATGAGGGATAATAACTAGGAAATTTGAACTTCAAAATATCTATGTCCCTAGTAAGAAAGCCCCAACATACATCAGCAAGAACTGTGAAGAGATATGAATGATTTAAGAAAGCAGGACTGGGGATTGGAGAGCTCAGTGGTTAAGAGCACTTGCTTTTCCAGAGGACCCCAGTTTGGTTCCCAGTACCATACTGGGTGGCTCACACCTGCCTGTAACTTCTGCTCCAGGGAATCCAATACCCTCTTCTGGCCTCTCTGGATACCTGCACATGGGTTGCACACACACAGACACACATACACATAAATTTTAAAAAAAGCAATCAAGGACTTCAATATTGTACTTTCCATAGTAGACAGAATAGCTGGGCAGGTGGTCAATAAAGAAACAGAAGCCCGGGGCTGGGGAGATGGCTCAGCAGTTAAGAACACTGGTTGTTTTTGCAGAAGACCCAGGTTTGAATCCCAGTACCCACATGGCAGCTAACAACTGTCTCTAATGCCAGTCCCAGGGGATCTGACAGCCTCTTCTGACCTCCATGGGCATTGCACAACACAGTGCGCTTACCTATATTCAGGCAATACACGCATACACATAAAATAAAAATGATAAATAAAATTAAAAAAAAAAGAAATAGAAGACTTAGGTACACCATGAACCAACTAAAGCTACAATACACTTGTAGACCACTCTATGAGAACACACAGTCTTCTCATATGACTGATATCAGGCCTGAAAACGGATCTCAACAAGCTTAAGAGAACCAAACTCATGTAAAAGATGTTCTATAACTATAATGAAATCAGGAAATCAACAGAATTTAGGAAATTCACAAATATGTGAAAACTAACCAAGATCCTTCTAAAGAACCATTGAGCCAAAGAAGAAATCATGGGCAATTAGAACCTATTCCAGGAAAAGTTTAAAGGAAAAAGCAACGTAGCTAAAGCTAAAACAGCTTAATGAGGGACTCAGAGCTAAAAACATCTACAATAAAAGCAAGATCTCAAATCAACCATCTAAGCTGTAAATCTTAGTAACTAGATTATAAAGAGCAAACTAAACCTACAGTAGGGAAATAATAAAAATTAAAGAACAGAAAGTCAGTGAGACTAAAGTTGGTTTTTGAAAAGATCAATGAAGTCGACAAACCTTTAACTAGACTGACAAATGAGGTAGTAAAATTGGGAACGAAAGGGTACTACCACCGACCTAATAAAAATGAAAAGGTTATAGGGATGACTGTGAACCTGTATATCAGTTAGCCTAGACAAACAGACAAATTCTTAAAAAGACACAAACTACCAAGATGGTCTAGTAAACAGAACATCCAAGTAGTTCTGTAAGAAAGTCTGAATTAGTGTTTAAAAAAAAAAAACCAAAAACCAAAAACTTCCTATGAAGATAAGTTCAGGCCTGAAAGGTTTCATGGCTGAATTCTGTTAAAACTTTTTTAAAAGTATGCGTGTGCAAGCCAGGCATGGTGGCACACACCTTTAGTCCCAGCACTCAGAAGGCAGAGGCAGGTGGATTTCTGTAAGTTCGAGGCCAGCCTGGTCTACAGAGCGAATTGCAGGCCAGCTGGGGAGACCAGCTGTCTCGAAAATACCAAAAAAAAAAAACCCAAACAAACAAAAAAACGGTGTGCATGTGCACATGTGTATATGTGCATGTGGAGGTCAGAGGACAACCTCACGTATCATCCTAAGGAATACCACCTGCCTCTTTTGAGATTGGGTCTCCTCACTGGCCTGGCATTCATCAATTAGGCTGGACTGGCTGGCCAGTGAGCCCCAGGGATCCTCCTGTTTCTGCTTTCCTGGGGCTGGAATTCCAAGCATCCTACAATGCCTGGCATTGGGTTCTGGGGACTGAACTCAGGTCCTCATGATTTCAAGGCATGCACTTTACTGTCCAAGCTATCTGCCCAGAACTTAACTCGAATTCTTAAAAAACATTTTCAAAAGACAGAAAAGGAAGGAACATTTCCCAGCTAGCTCTGAGGTCAGTGTTATCCACAGTCTTCTTTTGGTATCTTTGCTTTGATAAGAGCATTCTAAAAGCACTGAATGACAGACATCAAATTATGTTTATAGCAACATGCTTATAATAGTGTGAAGAGAACAATGTACAGGTCAGCAGCTGGAGAAACAAAATGCAGTCTACTCATCCCATGCAATACTATTTGGCAACGTAACAGAATGAATTACTTGTACAGGATACAATCCAGATGAACTTTTAAAACATTCGGAATGTCAAAGAAGTCAGTTTTGAACTGCATCCTGTGTGATGTCATTAATATGAAATGCCCAAGCAGGCACATCTACACAGACAGAAAGTAAATCAGGTGTTGCTTATACTGCGTATAGGGAGAGACTGATGTCAAACATGGTCTTTCATTTTGAGGTGGTGAAAATATAATTTGATGGCTGTGATGGTTACACAATGCTACAGATAGTAAAGCCTGTTCAACTGCATACTTTAAATGGATGACTTTTATAATACATGAATTATATCTTAGTGAAGCTCTTTTAAGAAGCCAAGAGAAAACTAGACTCAGAACACAGGAGACGCGGTAAAACGGCTGTCATGGGAGTACTCTGAAATGAGAGAGCTACGACAGTAGAGTGATGAGACAGTGGGACAGCAATAATTCGGAACCTTAAGCAGAACTGTCCTTATTTTCTTCCCCAGACCTCAGGCCTTTGTCTGGCAGGGATCTTCCCTACCAATATCTCAGAAACACTAATTCTCACAGACTGGCTAGGGGACAACCTGCCACGGTTTCTCAAATACCACCCACCATCACTCACCGTGATGCCATTCTTCCTTTGTCCCAGTCCTCATAACCATCCAGGGCTCTTTCCCCTGCTCCAAAAGGGAGATCACACTTGGCTTAGTATCAGCAGGACCTGCCAAAAGAAAAAAAGGTTATCTTGTGCATGTCAGGATTAACACCAATCCATGATTATCAAGAAAGAGAAGCTGGGCCGCTGAGACCTGAATCCAACCCCCAGAACCCACGTGGAAGGTGAAATGACAGAACCAGCTCCACAGAGCTGCCACCTGACCTCCACAAGCACGACCACCATTCCCTACAGAAGGAGTGAAGGTCAGAGGGACGGGGAAGATAAAGATGCCCAACAGGGAGGCCTATTTAAAAACAATTTTATTTTTATTTTATGTGTTTGGGTGTTTTGCCTACCATGTATGTAAGTGCACCACGTGCATACAATGAGAGTACTGGATCCCAGGACTGGAGTTACAGATGGTTGTTAGCTGCCAAGTGGGTGCTGAGACCTGAACCTGGGTCCTCTGCAAGAGCAGTCAGTACTCTTAACTACTGGGTTGTCTCTCCAGCCCCTTGTTTTTAGTTTCATAAAGGACAAGCCTGGTACTTGAAAAGCACTGATGAAAATCTCACCAAAATCTGGGAGTTGCTGGGTCTAGTGGCACATGCCTTTAATGCCTGCACCCAGGAGGCAGAGGCAGGCAGGTCTCTGTGAGCTTGAGGGCAGCTTGGTCTGCATAGTGAGTTCCAGAATAGCCAGTGCTATTCTGAGTTTTGATGGGTAAACTTACCTAGTGATATCAGGCTGCTGTAATTCTCCAGCATTACATCCCGGTACAAATTCCTCTGGCCACGGTGTAAGCATTCCCATTCCTCTCGAGAGAAGTAGATGACCACATCTTTGAACTTCAAGCCCTGAAACCACAAATATACCACTTCTGAAATGAATGGATAAAATTTTGAGGATGATGCAAAGGCAGAGGGGAGGCCAAGTGAGTGCTGGTGCTCTTCTGGGAACCCGAGCTATGCCGGGCGGTTGCACATGGATGCTCTATGGAAACAAAGGTGCCACTCAGGCCTTTTGGCATGCCAGTGCCAAGGCACTTCAAATAAAGTCCAGATAAATGGTCTCTCAGCTGGGCGTGGTGGCGCATACCTTTGATCCCAGCACTTGGGAGGCAGAGGCAGGTGGATCTCTAAGTTTGAGGCAAGCCTGGTCTACACAGCGAGTTCCAGGCCAGCTGGGGCTACGGGGAGACCCTGTCTCAAAAAGGCCAAAAAAATACCCCCCAAATGGTATTTCCAAATTAAATGCAAACTGTCTGTGCAAGTGCACAGTACCCTCACATCCTCAGAGTCCAGCACGACTTGTCTCCTCTTCATTCTCCCAGGCAGAATTTTTTAAAAAGAAAATCTTAGAAGGGTGAGTCCAGCACCTGGGGGACATGGCCTCACTTCTGCTGCCCTGTCTCAGAGGGAGCTTGGCACCCACTAGACAAGGCCACAACCAATTCTCTGGGTCCCAGGAGTGAGTCCAGCACTGCCAGTCAAGGCCCCACTTCTGCCCCATCAATCATCTGAATTTCATCAAGGACTCACATCCTGAAGTGCTGCAAAACCAAAATAAACAAGGACAGACAGGAACCGGGATAATGACCCATTATTTTTTGTGCTTTATTGTTTCTTTATTGTTGTTGGTTTCTATATATGCACATATATTTATATATATTTGCTTACTTATGATTTGTGGCATCCTTGTCAAATATTTGAATATTTTACTTTTTCCTTAAAACTTTTTATTTTGCCGGGTGTGGTGGCATACACCTTTAATCCCAGCATTCGGGAGGCAGAGGCAGGCGGATCTCAGTGAGTTCAAAGCCAGCCTGGTCTACATACTGAGTTCTAGGACAGGTGGAGCTACAGGGAGAGCCTGTCTCAAAAAGACCAAAAATTTTTTTTTAATTTTATCATTGTATATTTTTATATTTTATTTTACTTTATTTTTATATTTTAATATTGTATATTTTATGTGTATGAGTGTTATGCCTTCATGTATGTAAGTGCACCTGTGTCATGCAATAGCTTTAAGAGGCCAGTAAAGGGCATTGTATCCCCTGGAACTAGACTTACAGATGGTTGTTAGCCGCTTTGTGCGGGGAACCGAATGTAGGTCCTCTGTAAAGGCAGTCAGTGCTCTTAACCACTGGGCCATCTCTCCGGACCCAAATAAATCTTTTAAAAATCCTAAAATAAGAACAAGGAGTGCTATGTCCAGGAAAGGCCGAACATAGGCCGGGCCACCTCGGGGCCAACGCTGGTCACGCCCGCCCAGCGAGGGCCGAGAGCACGTTCTGTCAGCGGAAGCCCAGCCCCCTCAATGGCTGGCAGCAGCACCCCACCGCGCTTCTGGCACCCCCCCCCCCCCCCCCCCCCCCCGGGCCCCCCCCCCCCCCCGCGGCCTCTCATGACCTACTCTCCAGCTGTGCGCAGGGTCAGGCGCACGAGGGGTCGCGGACGCGCTCTACAGCCGGAACTCTTTCGAGCCCGACGTTTCGAGCGCTGGGATCGCCCAGGACTCTGCAGGGGCCCCGGCCTGCTCCATGCCCCGCCAGGGCCGCAGGCTCCCAAAGGGCTACTACTACCCGGTGAACGGCCCGCGCGCCCCGCAGAGGCCCGCACGGACGCCTACAGCGAGAGCGAGCGTGGCTTGTGCTAAGGCCGGGGCGCCGCTCTGCTCGGGGCCATCGCCCGGGCGCAGCGCCAGCTGAGGGGTCCCAGCCCACTGGCCCTTCCGGAGACCTTGGGGAAAGACAAAAATAACAAACTAGCATTTTTACAAAAAGAACAAAAGACCGGGAGAAAAAAATAGCTTCTATTGATGGGTTTATCATCTCAATGGACTCTTTCCTTTTCCCGGGTGAAGGAAACCAACGTGACTGCAGGTGGTGAAAAGAGCACAGACGCCCACGCCACACCTCAGACCCACGGAGTGCTTGCGGCTACGCCAAACCTATTACTGCCTGCAGAGGTCAACTACAAGAAAGTCACAAACGATTTTTAAAAGGACAAAAAAAGATGATTAAGAAAAAAAGAAGCATTTTTTCTCTAACATTTGGTCCTACTTGAAACAAGAAAAAA